ATTATTACGATCAAAGTTAATAACTATGAGAAGCGGCTCATTGCAGAGCGAGTCGCAAGTTCATCGCGAAGTGAGAAAACGGGGGTCCAGGGGCACTCTCCGGCTGGGCGTTACAGCTCGCATAACGGACTAATCACGGCTAGTATGTCATTAAGGTCATTGTACCATAGTCTTTCAAGATATGCCTGCATGTGTCGTTGCTTTTTAGTCCAAAAATGTTTTGAATTAGGTATCCCTTTCTGCATTTTAAAAATTTTTGCTGTTCCTGTAAAGTGGCCCCAGAATATTCCGCCATAATTTATTTGGGAATATATGAAGGCATAGTTTAGTTGGATCAATTGTGTTCTTTCCAGTAGGCTTCTCAATCTATTTATGGCTAAGCTGTACGTTTTCTTCCTTTTGGCACCGCATTTAAGTGCTCATTCCACTCTAGGTTTAATTGCAATTGTACTCCAAGTATTTTATGCGTTTTTACTCTGATTATTTCGCTGTCGGATTGCCTTTCATCTAGGAGTATTGATTGTGGTATGCTCCCTTTGTTGCCACAAAACATCATTTATATTAAAATAACATCATCTCTTGCCTATGATGTCCGTCCTGCGCGGATGAAACGCGTCCGTATTTTAAAGATTTGACATGCACATGAGTGTTTTCACTTTTTTAAAATTTTAACTGAAAAATCAATTATCCTAGCAAACATACGTCGTGTAACTGGGACTCCTCTGCTCTCATCGGAGTGCTAAGATTAGATGAGGGTGAGCATATAGTGTAAAGGTGTTTGCAGCGAATTGTTGCATTTTGAATATTTTTTTCATGTGATGAGATGCCCCCGAATAGAACTGTGGTTAAACAAGAATAATGTTGGATATAATAATAATCGAGACAAGACAAAAATAATAATAATCTTAATAATTTGTAACTTTGGGTGACCGAAAAGGTTAAAGTATTGGAAGAGAAGGGAAGACGAAAAGTACAATGATTTTGACCCATTTTTCATGCTCACCTCTTAAGTCACCTTTATATCTTTTTCAGACGTTGCGAGAATGGAAGAACTGGAGGAGCTCAAACAGTTGTTTAATTCTCACTTAGAAAGTCTTTCAACTGATTCTAGTCCAGAAATCAAGTGTAGGGTCGCTGACATCATAACTTACTTTGAATTAAGTACCTAAGTGAAAGCTCAATTAAATAATCAAGAAAAATTAATGGGAAAGCTAATTTGAAGTAATTGGCATAGATTTATTAGGTAAGAAATCATGTACTTTTTTTGTAAATTTTTGCTAATAAAGTTTTGATATTTATCAGTCCTGGGATTGAATTTCAAGCATGGTTTTACTTTATTAAAGTAAGCGAGTGGTATTGATGATACTAGTTGCTTTACGCATCTAAAAGACACTTGCAAGTGATGGTGCTTTGCGGTAAAATAAGTTATGTAAGAAATTTGCCAAGTATCAAAGATACCAAGCAAATCTCTTCTTGCTCAAAGAGTATACTACGACAAAGACATAATTCGGTACAAATATGATACTCCAGCTTCACAACTTCTAGAGCAACTTGAATTGGCCGTTACCATTGTGACACAACCAGAGTTCTTTTACTTCTTAAATTCAATTTGGAGAGGGAGAAAATAATGAGGGATAAATATAACTGTAAGACAGCGACGTGTGGTGGGGGCCATTTTGAGTTTTGCAAGGAATCTGGAATCAGGATGGCTCATTTGAACGAAACTATGTATAGTATAATGTTATGAAAGTGGGAAACTAAAAAAGTGCACATTTTTTAGGCAGATTGCAGTATGGAATTAATATTTCCATCTCACTTTGGAGACAACCCAGATAACATCAGACATTTCAAGGACGTACATATCTACGTTTACCGTGAAACGTTCCGATTTCTACGTTAAAATCCACGCTGTCCGATATGTGGTGCGAAAACGTTTCGCTGTCGACGTTGCCGTGACGTAGAATTCTACGTAGTCTTCCCATACTCTGACGTAGTCGAAAACACGTCGCACTAGAAAAGGCGGCACATGCGAGGAGCGCCATCACCCGCTAGGTGCAGCTACATTTTGCGGCGCTGATAGCTCAAAACGTCTAATGCTCATGCGCAACCCAAGTTGACACCAACCAGGTTCCTGGAATCAGTCTAATCAGAAGAGGTTGTGCCTGTTCCAGTGTGTCCACCTTTCTTATCTTGATCTCGGTGTACCAAATGATTTTTGCAGCTTAATGTTGTGCGTGAGTTGATACTTTCCTCGAGGTACGGCAATGGAGAATTTGCAAGGTGTCTAAAATTTGACGAATTCTGTGTTTAAGTGGACGCTACCAATTGAGCTGAACACGAGGATACCCTTGGTTCATAAATTGAACTATTATTGGAGGAGATATCACAAAATAACCTCATCTGCTAAAATACATGTGTTTAAGTGGGAAATGCCGCCAGATGACGTCACTAGGCGGTGCATTTTCTCACTTTCAAATCTATTTTTATACTATTTCCCATATTAGAAAAAATTAAAAAAATATTATGGAATCAGATCTTTAGGCAATTTCAGACAAAGCAATAAAAAATTTGCATGCAAACTATCCATGAAGACGTGGAATCGGACGCGACGGACGGAAGGGAAATCTGTTACACGCGTTTCAATGAGAGCGGCAACTAAGGAGCGGAGAAGACGCCGTGGAGTCCGCGGCGTCATGCCTCGGCGATCTGTCGAGAACAGATCGGAGCGGAATCCCTCGGAGATTCCGCCCAGTCCGTCGAGGTTTTCGATGATTTTTCATGTCTACGTGCCGAAACGCGGATCGCGGTGGCGACACCAATGGAAAATTGCGGGCCATCGTGAAATATTGGATCCATGAAAGAAAATATGTTTGTAACAAGATATCAATGCATGGCATTCCTACCTCGTGCCACACAAAAACCACACAAAAAATAATACCAATAATAACACCACACAAGTAGGTAAAAGAAACATGACACCTTTTTTCCAGGAAATAAATCTGTAAAAACAAAACGAAATAACACTATTTTGGAGCTTTTTGACATCTGAACAATTTATTTAGACGTTGCTATATCTTATCTATAGAGAAACCTAATCAACCAATTTTTTTTTAACATCATGCCTGAGAGTAAAAAAAATGCGTGTCTTCGCTTGCAATGTTACAACTCTCTACTCACGTTCTATTCATTAATTTGAAACTGTTGATAGGAAGCTTATCTTGGACTTTTTGTAAACATTTTTTTGCTTAGTCAACAGTACCTTTAGAAATTTTACAAACGGATATTTTGGCTGGTATTCTCGTAAAAAATATTGGAGATTTTGAAACGTGGTGAATATTCATTGTAGCAAGGCACAATACACACTCGCGAGTTATCATCGGATACTTTGCCGACGGACACGACGGAATTATGGAGGCGATTCCGCTGCTTTGCCGGGCATGGCGGAGCGGAAACTTACTCGACGCCTCGTTGCTTGGGTCGTCGGTCGCAGCGGCATTCCGCGTCATAATTGCCGTACCTTCAGTGTTTTATATACTCATGAAAGACTCGTCAATTATCTGGTTTACACTAGTCTGTTCCTAATTCTGTGTCTCATTTTAATGTCAACAATGGGCCTGTTGCAAACTTTTGCCAGAGCAAAACTAAGAGTTGTTTTCTACAGATAATGCCTCAAAAATCACGATGAGCGCATCGGCAAAGTCTGAAATGCACTCATAACTTCACAATCTGCGTAAGAAATTTGCGATTTTTTGAGCTTCCCGCTTCGAAAACGATACTACGGTACAGGTGAACATTTTGTTAGAGGAGCCGTTCCATTGGCGGCAATACTCATCATGGCCGACGCCAGTCCGCCAAAACACGTGTGATGGAACGAGATAACACCTAAACAGGATTAAACCAGATAACAATCGGCGTGTTTACGTTCATATTTTCCTCGCCCGCCTTAATTGACCTTGAGTTCTCCTCGAATTACGCGAGGAACTGCGCAAGCGTCGGCCATGATGAATATTGCCGACGATGGAGCGACTCCTCTAACAAAATGTTCACCTGTGCAGTAGTATCGTTTTTGAAGCGGGAAGCTCAAAATAACGCAATTTTCTTACGCAGATTGTGAATTTATGAGTGCATTTCAGACTTTGCCGATGCGCTCATCGTGATTTTTGAGGCATTATCTATGGGAAACAACTCTTCATTCTGCTCTAGCAAAAGTTTGCAACAGGCCCATTTTAACCTGTAGATCTCATGTTCTACTCCAAAACCGAAAGTGCTTCATTCCCCCTCTAGTACTTACACCTCAAGGAAAGTCGTACTCAGTGAATGGTTGTATTTTGTTTACGTAATTATCATTTATCTCAAATAACTAGATACTTAATTAACGAAATTTTCGAATCGTAAACACATTAAGAGAGAAAGACGCACGAACTGTCCAAAAATAAATGCCTCACTATGCAATGCGGATAAGATGGATTCTAATTTTACTGCAACCCTTGCGCTACACGCGGATAAGATGGATTCTAATTTTACTGCAACCCTTGCGCTACACGTTTGTGCAATGTAGTCAACGCAACGTTCCTGCAACGTGGACGCAGCAACGTTCCAAGCGTTGTCGTTGCAACGTTTACGCGGGAACGTTTCGGAAACGGTACTTAACACATGGACACCCACGTAGAGTCACTCGTTCTAGTACACGTTGCTATCCATGTGGAGGGTTTCACATGAAACGTTAAATTCTACGTTGTCAACGTTGAAATTGTTATCTGGGAACATATCATAGATGGGTATACCATTAGTTTCTTGCAAGATGCTTCCAGGGATGAGCTATAAATAGTTCCAATGGTTCCTAGTCCCAAAAAGTGGTCCAACTACTCTCTTTGCTCCTGCTCAAGAGGTTGATGCAAAAGGAAGAAGGTTGCAAGTCCGAGAATTTTCAGAATTGAAATTGCTCATTATCAATTCACAAATATTCAAAACAGATTTAATGCTAGTGCATATATTGATTCGTTCTGGAACTGACGGCAAGCAATTTCTTCCATTGATTTGCCTTTAGAAATCGCAAAATCTATTCCTGATGGATACATCCACCTTACCAGGTCAAACTTGAGAATTAATTCCTTGGCTGAGTATAAGTGAGGAACAAACAGCTTCAGCCTTTTTGAGTTCATTTATTCTCTCCTGAATTAGTAATGATTAATCAAACGAATGGATGTATTGACTCCCTGGCATGAAAATTCTATTCTATGTAATAAAATACTTCTTAAATAATGATATGCTAAACATGTGCAAACGACGATTGGAAACCTGTGGTAATATCAATTTAACAAGAAAGCGGTAAATATTAGATGGGATTTTGGCCCCTTTGTCCTCCTCTCCCCTAACTCGGAAATTGTTTCTATGTTCATCTTAAAATCATTCTTTTAGCTTTGAGTCCTTGTAAGCTTCCATTTAAACTTCGGTTCTATGACCGAATCGGCTGTGCAAAAAGCAAACCATTTTTGAGGGCTCTGTAAAAATGTGTACAACCCTCCGTTCTGAGGGATGATTTTAGGTTTCCAACAATTACCATAGGTAAACTTACACCACCAAGGCATTGAGTGCTTAGAACTACCATTTTTAAGAAACCTAGGCATTCTAACTATCAAGAAAATTTATTTTCATATACCTACCAGGACTTACATTTTCGGTGAGGCATGGTGGGGTTCGGAGGCATTTCGGTAAGGTTCAGCTAGTCCTGGTAGCTTTGTAGGTACAGGTCCTGATAGATTCACACGGGTCTGGTCAATTGGCTTATCTTGGCCCCAAAACACCTATAAAGAGACTTTATTTTCAAGGAGCTTTACAGATTTTTTTTCTTGGTGGTTCAAATGACTCAGTAGACACTACTTCAAAAATCTGAAGAGAGTTTGCTCGTGACTAAAAATTTTAACTCATTCAAATTGTACGACGCTAATCACGAAAATCTTCAACAAATCCTAAGAAAATTTTTTTGTTAGCGAGAAGTAACAACTGCAAAACCAGAGAAAAACAAGGCGCTCCAGGCTATTTTGAACCATGCGTCATTTTTCCACTCAGGCAAAACTGAGTTAGGAAATGACTCTTGCCATGTGTTGCGCAACTCTGCTGTGATGTCTTTCAGCGCCTCTTACAATGATATCTTCATTTATTAGAAAGTCATGGGGCAAAGTCTTTCACTGGGTTATTCAACTTCGAACCCCCCTCCTTTCTCGCCAGATTTGTTCTTGGGGGATGACATATTGGGGAAAGATGCAGATGCCCCTCAAATAACTCTTTTATTACACCAGAAAATAAAAAAAATCCAGTAGG